CATGTAAAATAAGAGTAAACAGAGGAAGAAGAAGAATTTGTTATATTATTCATCAATCTCGTATGTATATATACAAGTTACAAATTCTATGTTAGGAAAGAATATATTAGGAAAGAAGACTAATCAAATTCCTACAAATCTGTCCTACAATCAAGGTAAATCATATATCCCTAGTATTTACTTCCTATTTTAGTTATACAGTCTGTAATATCATATCTCCCTAGTATTTAATTCCTGTTTTAATTATACAGTCTGTAACATCTTCCTATTTTAATTATACAGTCTGTAACATCTCTCTTTCACACACATACACACACACACATTTGTAGACATGTAACCAAGTCTTGTTTTCCAATATTGTGAGACTCGGACTGTTTATCAAACCAGAAAGGCCACTGGCCACAGGTCAAGTAGTTCAACCACTGGGTTGACCTAGTGTGACCTATGATGTCATATATATAAATATAGTATAACATGTTATTTTCTGTGGTTTAATGGCCACTTTTCTAAAGTCTTGTAAATCATGTTTTTGTATCGGTTGGGTCATTAAAACCCTTAATTTTTCAATGGTTTGCCCAGGATAATAGTGGGATAGACAGTTCTTTTTTGTAAAAGCTAAAAAGTGGGTTTCAAAGGGTGGGCTATACAATTCTTTTTTGGAAAAGCTAAAAAATGGGTTTCAAAGGGTGGATTGCCCTTCGGTTCTCATGTCTGCTGGCCAACCGCCTAGTCCAGTCCGAGTCTTACAGCATTGTTGTATTCACGAAGGTTCAAAATTTCAATACAGTGCATCTTGTATTGGGGCATATTGGGGTGTATTGATATTTTGAACCTTGGTATTCACTATGGGTTCATCTTAGAGTTGCCTTCTTTTAGATGTTCTTTTCTACTTTTAAAAGAAACTTTTAATTAGTTTGGAACTTTGGATATTATTTGACAGTCTTTTTGATATTAGTACTATGATTTGAGACTGTTTATTGCTTTATATGCATCATTCTGTTGCTTGCGACATAGTCTTTTCATCTTGGCTTTGTGAAAAGACATTCTTGCTTAATGATTTTATACATATCTTTGCAGTGAGAAAGTAGCACTTCAGGCATTGAAGGCCAGTGATTGGCACCTTGAAGGGGCCTTTGATATATTCTACAGCCAGCCTCAAGTTAAAGCTGTTCCTGATTCTAGACATCTTGAGGAGCTATACAATAGATATAAAGGCAAGTAAAAACGTTTTCATTGCGTTTAAACTTGCAGTGTTTTTCATTCTATTTCTAATTGATGCCTTATCAGTGGTGAAGTTGTGTGACACTGGAGATAATGGACACAAACGTAGCAACATAACACAATCTAGAAACACAGTCCCATTCTAAAAGATGGCACTTTTGTGCAGATCCTTATGTTGATATGATTCTGGCAGATGGCATCTCTCTTCTTTGCAATGACCTACAGGTAACTTCGCTCAAATTTTGGTTAATTGATCTTGGTTTTTGGAATGTTCAAATAAATATATTTTATGAAATAGTTACATACTTTTTTTTCCTTTTCCAATATGTATATAGACACTGATTCTATTGGAGTGCAATTGATATGTTTATTTGGTTTTGTTTCTGTAGGTTGATCCTCAGGACATTGTTATGGTATGTGCATATTCTTTGAATAAATATTTTTTCCTCCTAAAACCATGGATGGCTGGCATATCTGTAGCAAGAAAATTTGTTTATTTCGGATAGTATTTTGATTAGATTATTGTCAGCTAAATTGCTACTTCTTGCAAACCTTTTGGATGCTGATCTTACTCACTACCTTGCCCCCATAAAAAGTGAGAGTCTTGTTCTGATCAATGTTTTGAAGACTGAATCATTGTCCAGATTACAATTTGTTTATTT